GATCTCTAGTTGGCTTGCAGATATAACAACTAGTATAGAACTTATATAGCAATGTATAAGCAGACTACTTAAATTAGTTCCAAAAGTACATGTGTAGCTAGTTGTAACCTTCAATGTAAGGTAAGCTCCTAGTGGCATGCTGTGTCCTATATATCTGAATAAAAATGTTACATCACCAAGACAAAAACTTTAACTATATAAAAAAAAAATTATCACAATGCTTAAGTTCTTTGTTAACTAAATTGGTCACTTATGCTATTTCAGCATTCAAAAGCTATCCAGAAAGCACAGATCTTGATAGTAGATCATATTTCAATTTTTTAAATAAATCTTTTATAAAAGAATTTTTAATTACATTAAATAGAATCTCAGCTATTACCCATGTTTTTAATAATGATTGATCAATTTGGTATTTTATTTCTTAAAAAATGCAATTTATATCTTATAAATCAATTGTTTAACCTTGAATCATATTAGCTTCTTCAATTAACTTTTGGTGCCAATAATTACTAATATCTTCAGAACAATCTGCATAGTGATTGGCCAAATATGCTTTTATAACTTGTGGTCTTCCATGTTTCCAAGCAGTTAAACAATAATAACAAAATACTTTATAATGTTTATTACTTCTACTAGATCCTTTTATGTAAAATAACCATATTTCATCAAAGCTAGAATTATAATTTTTTTGTTTCTTATTTGAATATATTGAACTAGAAGTAAGGGCATTATCTGAACTTTTATTCTCATGATGCAACATTTTTGAATTCAAAATATTAAAAAAAGAAAAATACTTAAAATAATCTTTTATTTATTAATAATAATAATATATTATTTATTTATTAGTTAATTTAGTTTACTATTACTAATGCTAATACTACATACTATTAGAATTATGGTATATGATATATTATTTTATTACAATCAGAGTTATTACTTACATCAATGCTACCAAAAAGTTGCAACTTTGCTACAATTAGTTATAATTAATTATCTTAATACAACTGCATCACTAAACTGTCAGTCATACTAGTACAACTATAGTTATAAATATCTTATCTCAACTGATTAACAGAATACTATTGTTATAATATTAACTATATATTATATAGATGTTTATTCAAATTTTAATTTGATATTTTATTTTTGAAAGAATGCAATTTGCATCTTGTAAATTAATTGTTTGACCTTAAATCATATTAGCTTCTTCAATTAACTTTTGGCATCAATAATTACTAATATCTTCAAAACAATCTGTATAATGATTGGTCAAATATGCTTTTATGACTTGTAGTCTTCCATGTTTCCAAGCAGTTAAACAATAATAACAAGATGTTTTATAATGTATGTTACCTCTACTAGGTCCTTTTATATAAAATGACTATATTTTATCAAAGCTAAAATTACAATTTTTTTGGTTCTTATTTGAATACATTGAACTAGAAGTAGAGGCATCATCTGAACTTTCATTTTTGTAATGCAACATTTTTGAATTTGAAATATTAAGAAAAAAAAATACTTAAAATAATCTTTTATTTATTAATAATAATAACATGTAATAAATCAATTGCATATATTGTTTATTTATCAGTTAATTTACTTTACTATTACTAACACTAATACTACATATTACTAGAATTATGGCATATAACATATTATTTTATTACAACCGAAGTTATTATTTACATTAATACTACCAAAAAGTTGCAACTTTGCAATAATTGATCATAATCAATTATTTCAATACAACTGTATAACTAAACCTGCCAGTTATGCTGATACAACTATAGTTATAGGTATCTTATCTTAACTGATCAACAGAATACTATTGCTGTAATACCATCTATATATTACATAGATGTTTATTAAAATTTTGCCATTAGTGAGTTTTGAACTCACAATCTACTACTTGGGAAATGACAACTTATCTACTTCACTAAATTGTCATACCCTTATGTTATCATAATTAATTGTAATCATTTGTTATTTATTAATAAATTATATTTTAAAAATTTTATAACTAAGTTATTTCTAAGTTGTTATGAGATTATAAAAATATTTGTTTAATTTTATTAAAAAACTATGTCTAGATCTTAGCAAACATATGAACTATATATATTAATATTAATATATTATTAATTTTGAACTGTTACAATATTAATACAATGCATTTAAGTTTATATAGATACTTAGTAATGTTTATATAATGACTTTTTTATTATTAAGCTACAAAATCATTATGAAACTATTATATAATTGTAACTAAATTACTACAATTCTTTAATTCTAAATAAATTGTAATTATATTTTAGTGATATTATATTAACAATGCAAACTGTATATATTAATATCATTAAGTTATTAATTTTAAAATTATTATCAAATTGTTACAATATAGTTAAGTCTATTATAGCTGTATAGTTTTAATCAAATAAAGATTTTAATTTTATATTATAATAATTTAGTAACTTAATTGTGATAACATTTTTATAAAAAAAAACAAGACACAAAAAACTTTTTTTCAATGATCTGTTGCACTAATTTTTTCACACATACTGATCTACAAAAATTATATAGTTAGTATATTTATATATAACAAAACTTTACTGTATAATATCTGAGTTTAAGAGTTTCAGATTGCATATGAGCCATATAAAAAAGAGTTGAAAAAGACAGCTTCTTGTAGATTTGGCTCTTTGGTAGAATTTTATGAAGTTATTGAAAAAGTAACTTTGACTATAACTAAAGAAGTTTTGTTAAGCTATATCTAAGCAGTAGCAAAGATAGAAGCTTGGTTGAATATGCTATTTTATATAACGTAAACTCTTATACTTATTATAGTTGATGCTTTAAAAAAAAAAATTTTTATTTCTCACTTTTTTCTAAGAAATTTTTATTAAAAAGTGGGCAATCTAGTTTACTTTTATCGAAATTAGCATTGTTAATTCTTTTAAATTAGGATTGTTTATCAGTTCTATTTAGAAAAAACCCATGTTACAAATAAAGCATAAGTATATGTATTTTGAAACAAACACAACAATAAGATGAAATTGGAGATTTTCGATAAAGATAAGATGATTGATCAAAAATGTGGAGTGTCGAAATATAAGATCTGATGAAAAGTATGATAAGTAGTACATGAAGATGAATCTAGTAATAAGGAGTTGAGACAACTGGCATATGAAAAATTCTCTGCTAGTTCAGTTTTGGTTGAATTGTTTCCTTTAGAATATAAGTTTTAGTATTAAATATGTTAATTAGATAGAGTTAAAGTAGAAATTACTATATTTAGTAATATATAATTTTTAATAGACTGATACAGCCTTTATAATTAATGACTGTTTGTTTGGCCTTTATTAGCAATTCTCTTCCTTTTCATTTTTTAATATTTGTTTTTTTTATATTTCTTCCATATATATATATTTTTTTAGTATATTCTCTCTTAACAACAAAATTTTTTTTGGTTTTTTATCTCTCTTCGAATAAATGGTATTAGATTGGTGCTGTTCAATTGTAGGATGGCAAACAAATGAGCTTGATCCAGACTTTAGCAAGTCTAATGTAACAGGTTGCTTGTAAGTACCAATTGAGATAACTGCATGATGATAACATATGAAGTTAGATATAGTTCTATTTGTATATTGTCTATACTAAATATTTATAAATAAACTTCTGACTGGTTGACCATCATGGCTACCAAAGGTTAGAAAAAAAAAAAAAAAAAACATCTTTATAAAAATATTATTTTCTGTAAAATAGAAACTAAATATCACTCTGTAGTAATTTTGTTATTTAGCAGAATATAAAATTAAGAAATTCTTTTTTCTAAGTCTAAGTTCTCTATAGTCTCAAAAATAATAATTTACTAATTATTTAGATAAGATGTATCTTTTTTTAATAGTAATTTAATTAAACAATTTCACTAATATTCTTGAAAATATTTTTAATTCTTTTTAAAATAAGTTTTTTATTGCTTAAAAAAATATTTTTAATCTTAATTGACAAAAAAGATCTTCTAGTATTAACAGAAATATGTCTATATATAGTCTATATAATTAAAATTTTTAACCTTTTTAATAGCATAGTGTTTAAGCTTTTTTTTATTTATAAAAATTAGTTCTAAATAATTATAAAATTCTTTATTATCATATGATTTAACAATAATTATATTTTATCTTATTGTCTCATAAAGAGAAATTATAATTTTGTTTAATAAATTATTAAAATTATAGATATCTAATATAAGAATGTTATTATTTTTAGACCTTATATTATTTTTTAATGAAAATAAAAAAAAAGTTAATTGCTCTTTTTTAACTTTTGCAAACAAGCTTGATTACAGTTTATTCAAAATCTTTTTATTTTTATTATATTAAATTTTATAAGAAATATATTGTTTTGTTTTATATATGTTTTTGTTATTGTTTTGTTTTTCTTATTATTTTGTCTTTTAGAACACATCTTAGAGTTAGATACAATTGTATTACTATTTTGATTCTTTTTTTTTCAGAGATTTTTTTTTATTTTCTAAAATAACTTCTTATTTTAACTAATATTATTAAAAGAATTATGTTGTATAAAATTAATTAAAACTTCTTGATTGATTTTTGTTATCATAGTATTCTTTTTAAGAAAAGAGTTAGTTTCAATTTTTGTTAATAATTTTTTTGTTAAAAGTTTGTTGCTAGTTTAATTTTTTGTTTTTGTAGATTTTTAAAATAAAAATCTTATACTTTTTAAGAACAAGAAAGTAAACTCCTGTTTTGCTACTGTTTTTGAAGTTAGTAAAACTCTAAATAGAGTTTATTTTGTCTTTTTAAAATTACTTTCTTTCCTAAACATGATGATCAAGAAAGAAAAATCATTGATTCTAATAGAATTTTTCTTAATAATTATTATATTAATTTTTTCTTAAGTATTTTAAAATTTTTACTTAGTTATATTTAATAAAATTTTAACCATATATGCTTATTATTTTTATAAATAAAATCAATATATACACTTATCAAATATTTTTTAAAATTGTATATTTTATAAATACTACAATATATCAAATAATACTAATGACTTAGTCCTTAATACCAAAAAAAAAAAGCTAATGGTTTAGTTACTGTGTACACAAAATCTGATTGGTTGATTCTTGTGATTTGAGTTGCTAGGAACTGACTGAGAGCGAGGAAAATACAAACTTTATAATTTAGCCATTCATGGCGATCGGACCTATTTTTAACCAAATCAAAAGTTCTTGTAATAAGGGGATAATCGAATATATAAAAATCTTTATCATATATATATATAATATACTTGCTATAAATCACTATAAGTCTTTAAAACTACTATAAATCGATAAAATCAGTCAAATTGCTACAAATTGCTACGTATAAAATCGATAAAATCAGTGAGATTGCTATAAATTGCAAAATGGTTAAAACCAACTATTCTGATTTAAATCCAATAGTAGTGCAGGCGTTAAACAATTTGCAATATAGATTATCGTGGTGAAACGCCAGAAATGTGGTGTTCTATACATTTAGAATACTTTTTGAAAACAATTTTCCAAGAGTGGCTTTGTCCAAATGATTGAAAGGTTAACACCCATATCTAACTTATAATTCAAAAATTTTCAGATGTTTGTCTCGCATCGTACGATCTAGAATTGATCATTAAAAAAATGACGGGTCCAATGTTTTAGTATTAATATAGATATATTTAATTAATTATTAATTTGATCAATATCGATATTGTATTATGTGAACGAATAACGAATAACGATAAACGATAATGATAACCATTAAATTTTTTTTTTTTTTTTTGGAATTTTCGAAGATTTAAATAAATATACGTACGTACAAGTTTACAACCTGTTATATATGAAACGGTTCCGAACGTATATATGTACATACGGATATACGTTTTACAAGATAAAAGCCAATGGTTATATATAGTTTGATAGAGGAACAATTGATTAAGCAGATTAGAGTTTTTACATGTTTAATAACTGGATTATTAACAGCACCAAAACTTTTAGTACGTATTATTTTTAATGCACAACCTATTATAGGTAATAATTATACGTAAAAAGACTATATAATTTGATATATCGATATAGTAAAGAAAATTTTAATTAACATTAATTATAATATATATATATTAGGTATATATTATACGTAGTTAATAAGATTTAAAGGAATTAACATGATGTAATAATAATTTTATGAAATTCAATGGACCCATTGAGAAAATCTCTACCCAGGTATTATTAAATTACCCGGGTAAATTATTATGTATTTCGGGTAATCATATAGCAACAATTTCTATGTACGTACCCGGGTCCAATTGATATACATACGTAGTTGTGGTTGATACCACAATACCAATACATACATAACAAAAACAATGTCAGTAGATGACCAAAGAAAGATTATTATGTACAGCCAATTTCGATTTAGAGAAGGCTGTGCAGGTGAGTACGTATTTAATAACAAAATATTGGATCACATGGAAACCAACTTTATTAAGAAATTTATTATTTCGATGTAACCAAGAGGATGGCTGAATAAGGTCTATATAAGAAATCTAAAGTTTTGTATTGGGGATTTTTTTTTAACGTTAATAATAACAAAAATATGGCGATTCATGATTATGATGTTGTTCGTCAAGATATTAAGGGAATTATCTTACAACCAGGATATGATGATGGATCCATTGGACCAGTTCTTGTACGATTAGCTTGGCATGCATCAGGAACTTATGATAAAACAACAAAGACTGGAGGTTCAGACGGAGGTACTATGAGATATTCAATTGAATCCAACGATCCAGCCAATGCAGGGTTAGACCATGCAAGAGCGTTCTTAGAGCCTATAAAACAAAAGCATGATTGGATTTCTTGTAAGTTTTTAAAATTAAATAAAAGTAATAAAAGTAATAAAACGGAAATATATAATAGAATAATTATAATTACACAAATCAGATGGAGATCTTTGGACACTTGCAGGAGTAGTTGCCATTGAATCCATGGGAGGACCAAAAATCCCATGGAAACCTGGACGTAAGGATAAACCAGAATCAGCAGTACCACCGAATGGACGTCTACCCAACGCAGAGGAAGGAGCAGACCATATCCGACAAGTATTTTATCGAATGGGATTCACAGATCGGTAAAATTTACAATAAAATTTAAAATTTACAATAAATGATTAACATAACTTTAAAAAGATAAAGTTTAATGATAAGCATAATATATATATACGTATATATATTTTTTTTTAAATTACGAAATTTAATATATAATCATTTAGAGAAATTGTAGCATTAATTGGAGCTCATTGCCTTGGACGTTGCCATGGTATAATTAAAATAATAATAATAATTAAAAAATGATAAATATGTATATTTTATGTAATTTATTTAATTAATGTAAATGGTATTAAAAATAAAATTTTAAATAGGTGATCGCTCGGGTTACGAAGGCAAATGGACATATACACCTACACGATTTAACACACAATTGTACGTAATTTAAAAATATATTTAAATTAGCGATAAATATATATATATTATTTACCAGAAAATTATCGAATCAAATAGTTTCGTGATGTTGACAAAACAAAATTGGCAAGAGAAAAAGTTAGAGAATGGACTAGTCCAATATGCAGATGAAAAAGATCAACTCATGATGCTTCCTGCGGACATGGCGTTTCTCTATGATACAGGATTTAAAGAAATTGTTGAAATTTATGCGCATGATAAACAAACATTCTTTGACGATTTTGCGGCAGCTTTCGGAAAATTGCTAGAGCTCGGAGTTAATCGTGAGGATAATGTGACAAAGTTGTAAATATCGACATGTATAAATAATCACATATTGTTATATTGTCGAGCTTAGTCTTTTTTCTTTTACTATGATTTATTATAAACGAAGAAATATGTAAATTTATTTGCATATATTATATATTATGTTCAATATGAATCTGGTTTGACCTCATTATATTATTAAATCTTAAATCTAACGCTACGTAAGAGTTTGGCGACACAACCTGTATCCTTATCGTATCCTTATCGTTATGGATCCTTATGTACCCTTATGTGTAGTTATTTTTGGAAATCGAAAAGCATACCGATAATAATTTAAGCAAGAATTCAATCAATAGTTCAAGCAATAATTCAATCAATAATTCAATCAATAATTCAATCAATAATTCAAACAGTAATTCAGGCAATAGTAGCTTTCGCTTTACGAATTTTCTTTTTTCGTTCACTTTTTTTCTTTTCTTTCTTTTTCATGGAATCCATGTGAACTTTAAGGATATTACTATACGCGGTGTAAAATTTGTCAGAATCTGAAGGATTAACCTTATAAAATAAAAGAGTGATAATGATTTATGTATAAAATTTTAGATCGTAATGTCAAAAGGCTTTAAAATAATAATTTACCACCGTTTTAATCTTATTCTTTCCACAAGTGGCACGAATCACCAATGGATATTCTTTATTATCAACCTTTTTTTCTGAATCTTGGTTTTTTAACTCTTTTGCAGCCTCAACGTTACGTAACTTCTTTGGCTGCCAAGTATCTAAATATATTTTATTATTTATTATTATTTATCATTATTTAGGTAAAAAAAAAAAAGAATTATAAAAAAAATTTATGAAATTTACGTCTTTTCATGGTTAGGAGAATTTTTTTTGTAGTAGGTTTTACATTTTCAAAAAGTCGAGTAAGTTGAGTAAGGAACTTTATGAAGCATCAATTTTTTATCCACAAGAAATAATTAATGATAAATTATTCTTTAATTACTCTATTAAAAATATCACCATATAAGTTCTCATACCGCATCGTTATCTAACACACTATCTACCATTTTTTTTTTCAAAGGCTAAAAAGTTAAAAACCAAAATTATCATTCAATTATGTATAATGATAATCTCGACAATCATCTTGAATTAAATTTTTGTAATTACGGGGGATCAAAAATCATTAGTAACAATAACAATAAAGGGGTATCATGCCTTATGATATATATAAGTATAAGAAATCGCTTTCAGATTAGGATAGATTATGATCTTGACTTCGGCTTTAACCGTCTAAATTATCTCATCAATTCATTTATCAACTCATTTTATCGTTATCGTTATATAGATTTATTCTGATAAATTCATTCTGTGAATTTATTTTGTCATAACGATACATTAATGGCAACGGTCGAAGTACCCCTGTAGAATGACCTGCAGAATGACCTGCAGAATGACCTGTAGAGTGACCTGTAGAATGAAATGACTGAAATGACTAAAATGATTAAAATGATTAAAATGATACATATTATAACCATATCGATATCCTATCGGTATCCTATCGATATCGTATCGATATCCTATCGATATCGACATTGTATAGCATAGTAGTACAAGAATATTATCGTTGTCCACTGCATATAGTAACGGTAACCTACGTGATAGTGGTAGTGGCTATTATTTTTAGTATCTACGTATGTAATATGAATTTTGCACCATTACCGTTACGATTATAAATGTCAAAGGGAACGTTCTACAGCGGACAGGTGAACGTAATACGGAGGAATTTTAGACCGAGATTTGCGTTATTAATAATCTTAAAAGAATGGCTTGGAATATTTTTAAATCTATATTGATAAAAAGTTTGATAATTTCATCTGTCTGTGATCTCTGTTTAACGGGTCCCATGACAGGTAATAGTATCTTTAATTATTATTATTCACGCTATTGAAATGTGATTTTATAGATTTCCCATTCTCGTAATAGCGTTAAAAAAAAAAACCTTCATATTTTATTTAATTTATAATATATATATAAATATATATTTAAATTTAATATATATCGATATCGATATCGTTAATTATTAATAACGTTAATATTTATATATTTTTAATAATGCTTTTACTTTCGTGCTTACGTATACAATTGTGTATATAGGATAATATCGATAATATCGATAAGTTAAATTTTTTTTTGCTCCGTCGATTATCATTGAACATCCGTTATTTTAAATTTACCCGTTTTTTCACTATTAAAGATTGTTGCATTTATATGCGAATTTGAACCATTATTTAGTTTATCAGAGTGTCAAATTTTGCATAATTATCGTGAAAGCTGCAGGACTTATAAGTCGTGTCAATTTTGTCTTTTCTACTTTTTTTTTTTTAAAGTTCAATTTTCTACATTATCAACATTATCGTTATTTCAAGGTTATAAACTTGAATTTATCGATTATCGTTATTTATTCAAATTTTCGTTATATTATTCGTAATCATCTTAAGTTGTGCTCCCAAAATACTAAAATATTCATTAATACAGGTTGACTTACTTTTTTATAGCATTCCCTCGTGTAATCGTGCTCCTTCTAACGCATAGAACAACTCTCGCATTAGGTGAAAAAAAAAACAAACTTTCTAGTTTTATTTGCTTTATATATAGATATATATATATTTTTTTGTTTTTGTTTTTTTATAGGTTTTTATAGTTTCATAGTTTTATCAATTCTGGAATAAGAAAAAAAAAACAAAAAAAAAAAAAATTAAATAAAAAATAATAGTATAGAACGGCTCTTTTGCCATTTCCTCTTTCGACTCTCCCTTTTTAGAATCAAAAACTTTCTTACATAGTTATTTAAAAAAAACTGGTTTTAAGATCTTTTGTTCATATTTTTTAATTAAATAATGTCTACCGGTGCGTCTATACCGTCCGTGGAAATACCGCAAAACTTTTCATTAAAGTCAATAGAAAATTCTGAGAAGGAAGAACCACGACGGTGTAATACGAATAATGATAGTCCAAGTGGAATTCCTGTTACTGAACCCAGTGAACCCAGTGAACCCAGTGAGCCCAGTGAAAGTACAACAGACCATTCACAACAGCCACAACAATTTCAGTCTCAATCACCACCACAGCCACTTGTAAGAGAACAACCGGTCGACCAGCAACGTTTATCTCCTCCAAAAAAACCTTCTCATGCTAAAAAGTTAGTAGATAAGTTTGCCACATTTTCCCCGATGAGGAGTAAAGGATCTGATCGAAAATTAATAGTAGAAACTGCTTATAGCAACTATAACGCAAAGAAAGAGGTACTATCTTGTAGAATATTTTTTTATAAAATATATTTTTTTCGGTGTTATTATATGAAATATATATATATATAATATATATATATATGTATATATGTATGTATAATAGATAATAGTTATATACGATCTATAATATATATATATCTATATATATAGATTTAACTTATAGTATTATTTTTTTATTTCCTATATTTAATCTTATTAACTCCTATTAACCTATTCCTATACTTATAGTCTGACCAACGGCCTAAAGCGGCCGACCAGAAAACTCAAAAGAAGAAAAAGCGTATCACCGAAGGTGGGCGATTTTACATTTTCTGGTGACAATCTTGGGTTTTTATTTTATGCGTTATATAATACCTTCAAATTTAAGTTTTTCCTTTACTAACCTTTTCATGCAATCTAATAATTAGGGATGTCAAAAGCTGATATATTTGCTGCAAGTGTGGCTAGTGCTGTTGATGCTGCTGATGGTATTTCTTGTTTTTTATATATTCTTGCATACATATATCATACATATATTTTTTTATTCTTATATTTACTTTCTTAAAAAAAAAGGTGCTGATGAAGAGGAAGTATATTATACTTATAGTACGAGTAATTCTCGTCCTCCCTCTCTGACTAGTCCTCCCTCTTTGACTAGTCTAAACGGCTTGGCTGCTCCATTATCAACTCCAAATTTCTTCCAAGACAATAATAATATTCCTCAACAATTCCAAATGCCTAATATATACAATACTGCTTTTTCCCCTCATCGTACATATAACACTTTTCCTAATCGTTCTCATTTTCCTACTGGATTTTATCATAACAATCCACCTTCGGATTCTGTTGATATAATTCCTAATCATTCCCCAAATGATAAAAGTAATAATAAGCCAACTGGTGTAATGCGTTCTTCATTACCCGATATGTCTCAATATGTAAAAGGTTTACCAAATTATGATACTTCTAATTACCTATATAATAATTATAATAATTGGTATGTTAATGATGAACGATTACCACTATTTTCAACAAAACTTCGTCCTCCAACACGTCAAAGGTATTTATATCTTTTACTATTATGATTATTTATTATTTATTATTATTATTATTATTATGATTATTTATTATTTATTATTATTATTATTATTATTATTATTATTATTATTATTATTATTATTATTATTATTATTATTATTATTATTATTTATTATTTATTATTTTCACTCTCGTTTAATTTACATTAACTTTTATTTAACCTTTTATTTAATTTAGACATTCGTGTGCTCCAACGATATCTACTCTGACTGTAATAATCATCTTTCTCCTGGCTTCATCTTATTTGTTATACCTTGCATCAACTTGTCCTTTATCAGAAGTAAATATCAAAGACATAATGAATGTTCTTACTTCTGATAAGGAATTAATGTTCGACATTCAAGTAAAAGGTCGTAATTTCGGCCTAGTGGATGTAGAAATTATTGATGCCGATCTCAACGTATTTGCTACTCCTGTGAGAAATATTCCTTCTGGAATTCCAGGTGGTCCTGGAAGTCATTGGGATGATGATGATGATAATATTATTACAAATTCTTTATCTTTTCTTGAATCTGCTCCTAGTGAATATTTGGGTACCATACTTGCTTTTGATGAACCTTTGATCTTTCCTTCAGGAATTAATCGTACTGGCGTGGTTAGTACTCCTACTGCTCAAGTTAGATTGAAAAGTCCTGGTGGTGATGATAAAGCAAGTCGAGATCGATGGTAATTTTCTTTTAAATAAAATTTTATATATTTTATTATATATTTTATTTATGATTCACCGATTAATTTTTTTTTTAAAAAAATAGGTCTTATCTTCTACGGCATCAATTTGATTTAACCGTTCGTGGGGTTCTAAAGTATACATTACCTTTTTCAAAGAGCTATGTTGCTAGTGTATGTTTTTCTCAAAGAGTTGATGGTACTGAAAGTTCTTTAGATAAAGATGGTAAAAGTAGGATAGTTAAAGGTTTCAACACAAATTTGGTATTAGGCCAATGTGGTGATTGGGAAAAAGAAGAACAGGAAAAAAATAAAAATATTCCATTAATATAAACATTTAGATTTTTCAGGTTATTTATAAAAAAAAACTTTTTTTTTTTTTTTTCTCTTCATTTATGCAAATACTTGTATTATCCTTTGCAAAGTTGTACAGCATTTTTTTCATTTTTTTTTTCTCATTTGATTTGATTTGATTTTTTTTTCCTTTTGTTTTGCAAAGATTTTGCTTTTTTTTTTTTTTTTAAACATTTATGGAGATTTTTTGGATTCAGTATTAGATAATTTGAATAATGCATTCGAATTAATGCAGTTAAAATACGGTTAAATTGCTGTTATATAAAATTGTTATGATTTTAAGTTGATTATAGAATAAGATATATATATTACGTAGTTAATTGATTCTCTTTTTTTTTTTTTTTTTTCTTTTAGAGATATATATTAACTTATACGTGTATAAACGCATAAATTTTTAGATTTTATATAAAAGTATATATACATTTATACTGGAAATAAACTAAGATTTAGACAGGTCCAATTAAATTTTAATATCAGATATGCAGGATAAAAGTTTATTGTTATAAAGTTACATTTTTGTCTCGGAATTAGATCGAAATTTACTATATCAGTCAGTATTCATAACGTTAAAATAAAATATACGTATAAAAAAAAAAACTGGTTTGTAATATCGTATGTACGTAACAGTTATTTTCACACATATCAGATATACGTATTTTTGATTTTTATTTACAATACATAACAAAAGTATATTTGTGTTGCACGACCATGATAAGTCAGTATTATATTAAGAGATAAACTGTTCTAATAAAACTGATAATAAATTGACAAGCATTCAAATCATTAACTTTATGAAGCATATAAGAATCAGTGATATTTGCCGTTAATAACAACTAGAGGTTGAAGCATCTTTTTATCCTCTTCCAGTGGTGGCTGCTTGACTCTTTCCTCTAATAAGTTTCAAAAAAAAAAAAAAAAAAAGAAGTTTTTAAGAGATAGTTTTAATTATAAACTATAATTTATGAATTACGAATTATACTTTATAAATTATAATTATTATAAATTATAATTTATAAATTAAAAAGATTAATAACAACCAACCCCAAGCGACCATCCTTCCTGAAGCATTTCCACTAATGATTAGATTAATATTTGGGTGAAAAGCATTAACCGCTACCAAAAGAAAGAATTCAAATAAATTCCAAAATCCATATGTACTAATCATTTATAATAAAAATTCATTCATTATTTCTTACCTGGTATAGCTGTAAGTCTTTCATCCCGCAAGTTACAAATTAAATCACCATTTATTCCAGACATTATTTCTGCAGATCTTCCCATGTTTCCAATGATAAAGTGTGGATGCACATTTGGGTTCGGATTCCAAGTTGCGCGAAACATAGTAACCCACCTTTAATTTTTAATAAATAAATTTTTAATACATGTATACGTTTTTAAAAGAATTCATAAATGCAAACTTGCCTTCCTGTTCTGTTGTTATGAGGAATTTGGTGTCGTACTTTCAAATTATTTTCTTCATCAAAGTCAAACACTTTTACCGTGTCATCAAAGCTAGATGATACAATTTGATTACCATTCGGACTCCAATAAGCACTGGTCACTGAATTACTAAACTGAATTTTTTGGATTTCAGTTGATGTTTCAGCATTCAATTTACGAATGTCCCAAAGACGCATAGTTCTGTCCAAAGAAGATGTGACAAGATATTGCGGATGAATTTTATTGATCGAAATACATCCAATTTTATGTTCAAGTAGTTTATATTCCGTAAATGTTTCTATCGGTTCACGGATATCTTTTATTCCGAATTTACCATTATTTGTAGATAAATAAATTATCTGACCGTTAGGATCCATATCCATACTGGACAAAAAATAATCATTTCTAGAATCTGAATATGCAAAAGCTTCCACAAATTTTGCTTGATTAAAATCAAAAGAACGAATAGATCCATCATATGAGCACGTGTAAAGATTATTATAATTAGTAGGTGAATACATTGTGGACGTTATGGTTTTTGTGTGAGCTTTAAACAAATAAGTTCTTGGTTGATCTTCTTCATCTTCATCTTCGGATTTGATACTTTCTTTAACGTCCCAAAATCCAAGCCATCCAATTTTATCGCCAGCAGCAACCAGCACTTTCTCCTTAGCAGGATGAATAGCAATACAATATATTCTCTCTGGGGTGACCTTAACAGATGACCATTTCTCTCCAATTGCGAGCGATTTATTAGCCATTCGAACTGCTTTAAAACCATCCGCTCCTCCCGCAATACAACTATAATCAATATTATCATCTGAAATACTTTCACGATCTTCATTCAAGTTAGATTTTGTCAAATTTGATATAATATCAACAAAATCATTGGTATCATCAACAGACGTCATATCTGATCGAATAGAATTTAAATCAAGATCACCCATCATTCTAACGCGTTTTTCACCTTCTCGTCTTTTTTCATCTTGTTCAGCTTTCCTTTTAGCTTCAACTCCATCAGGTGTAAAACCGCGTATACGTAAAGATTGACGTGTAGGTTGGGTTGGTTTTTTGTCTTGAAGTTGCCTTTTTGGTTTTGGTTTTGATTTTGGTTTTAGTTGACGTTTTACAGAACGAACAAGTTCTGGAATGTTTAGTTGTCTAAGAATTTCTTCATTTCGACGAATATTTTCAAGTCGTTGTTTTTCACTTTAAAATATATATATAGATCACTTTCTTTTTTAAAGAACGCGACGCGTATTATTCTTTTTTAAAAAAATTTTTACTTACTATTCATTTAATGTCAAATCTTCACCCATATTTTTTTTTGTAATTTTTTTTTCGTAATATTTTAAAATCACGTAATCACGTCATTAAATATTGTCTCCTATTTATTTGAAAAAAAAAAAAGTTGATGTGATAGTTAAATATGCAGATCATGAGATCGTAGGAAAAAAGTACATATATAAAGAACTTGCAGTTTTTTCATTCATATCGATATATTCTTTGTTATATCGAAGCAAAAAAAAAAAAAAAAGCTATGGAGAAATTTGACAAAGCCAATTATTTTTACTTTATACCACCAGAAGCAGAAGGCAAGGTTTAAAAATACAAATTTACGAAGCATATCTTAAAAATGGACTTTAGACTTACCTTTTTTGTTCCTGGAACGCTCAAGTTAATCAAAAAGAGTCTCAGAGTTCAGTGGAATATATGGATATACCAGAACTAGAAAGCTCTCCGATTAGAACTGAATGGCTAGAATCTAACAACAAATCAGAACTTCTAAATAAATATTATAAAAACTATGTCCAACCCTTTAAAGAAAAGGGCACCGAAAAGGAATTTTGTGCTTCTATTGAAGATCCTGGTAAATAAGTTATTGTTACTAGATGAAACATAACATAGAAATACTGTCGGAAATTATTGAACCATTTTATTGGGAAATCCTCCAGTACGGAAACAAAGAATATATCCAGGTTATCAATTCAGAAGTGTGATTGCAAATCAACGAACATGGAACGTAAAATATCCTCGCGAAAGGTTTCCTCTTGACCATAAAATATACGATCAATTTTTAGATTCATTTAGTATAGGGTCAATCACTGATGTAAGTTTATTAAAGAAAAAAAAAAAAATGTTTTGAATTTTAAATAAATCAAATTATATAAGAAAAAGTCCTGTATCTTTGTTATTATTAGTTTAAGCCAGAAGATTACGGATTGGTATCAACGGATGTGAGTACTACAAAGTCTACAGGTACAAACGATCAAGAAACTCGAATATTACCTGGTATTTATTTATTTATTTATTTTTTTAATATAATTCATTTTATTTATTTATTTATTTATTATGATGTTATTACGTTTATATTGTTATTAATTTTTTCCGTTTTTACGTACGTACCTTCAATTAAGTTTCAGAAACTACAGATCATCAGTTGATAAATGGTAGTGAAAGGTCACACGAGAAGAAAAAGGTTTGTATAAAATTTGTTCGATTATGAGAATTTTGAAATTATTGTGCGAATACTGTATTTTTGATATATATATTTATATTTATATGTATGTGTATATTTTTTAAACATCAATTAGAAGAAAAAACACAAGCATGATTCAGAACATAAAGAAAAGAAACAGAAACATAAACGAGAAAAAGAACATAAAAAAGATAAAGATGGAGAACATAAAAAGAAGAAAAGAAAAAAGGTTTGTATTCATTTA